ATAATAAATGTTTATTTAATGAACATGGAAACAAATATTTCATCATAATACATACGTCATCGATTGCTTTGTGGAAACAAAAACCGGTTTTAATAAACATATTTCTGTAAAACGATATCTTTTCATATCTTAGGAAAGTGGTGCTCAATATAGTCGTATGAACATTACATCAACCCACAATTATATGATACTCCGAAGATTACGGTAGTGACATAAAATATCCCATCACACCTTAGAAACTATATAATATTTAATTTTTTGTCTACTTATGTAAATTCACTAACAGTTTATACCTGTAATGTTGTCTAGGTTTCTAACATTCTATTCTTTCCAGATAATTAAAATAACCCATAGTGTCACTGAATAAGAAAAAAAAATTCAGTTGTACATCGTATATATATATATATATATATATATATATATATATATATATATATATAGTTATCTGTAAAATATATGTCTATAGGAGGATAGAAAAGATTACATCATAAAATGAATTCGAGACTAAATAACAAATGAGGTTACGTACTAATCGAAGGATAAGGAAGAAAATGGTTTATGGGTCAGCTAATAGTCCAATTGACGGATATGAAGAAAAACGACATACAAAAGGTCATGATAATAAGCCGAATAATAATCAAGAAAACTTGTATAAGGTAATAATAATGATAACTGATTCGAATTCAATAATAATCAAACAAAAGTGCAGAAGAACATGGGACAAAAAAACCCAGAAACATACCCACTAAGGGAATCAGGGCCAAGGAAGGATGAAAGGTTGGACGAATCGTTTCTGCACGCAAAGTTCAGGCTTGAGTTCATGGATTGCCAATGCCTCAGCAGTGCATAAAATATTAATTCGACATCCCTTTGTTCCAGTTCCTTTGACTCTGTAGATTACATTGAAAGAAGAATCTTTTGGAGCGATATATATATATATATATACATAAATGTACAGCTTAAGTAAATGGTTTGTTCGAAAAGAAAATGTTCTCTGAATTCTCATTTTCTTATTCTATTCCTTCATTACTATGCTTCTACCATCACAAAAACCATTACAATCCAATCTCTATACATAAATTTACAATTAGGCATTTAAAAAGTACTCTCCTTTATAAATAAGTCGATTATTGTTAACATAAATCGATGTAAATGTTTCACTACAATAAAACTTATCTTCAAATGGAAGTTTTATTTTAATAATTTTCACTAAGTTTTGTAATATAAACAACCATTAAAATTGTTATATATTAATGTATATTAATTTTTATAACTGAATAAGATAAGTGTTTAAAGTGATCATAAGATTATTAGTTAATTTTAAAACAATAGTCCCTTTGATAAATTTCGACAATGTAATGAGAAGACGAAGTTTATCAGAATTATGTGATGTATTTACGCAATACATTCCGAACAATCTGATCACACATATACTTGTTAAGACATTTGATATGAAAATTAAAGGTCAGTTAGACAGGTTAAAGGTAATTCATAGCAAATAAAAAAAATATTAAAGTATACAAAAACAAATGTGATTACCACTGTGGATAATAAATCAGTATTAACAGGGTGTGTAAGGACAAATTGTTTTTGAACGCATAAAGGCGGTTTCAATTTCCGTATAGCCAAGGCTTCAATAAACCTTAGTATAAGTCCTTGAAGGCTTTTGTATAACTCTACAAATGCTGACTTGACGTCAATTTTATGATCAGTTTGAAGCAAACCTTTCTCAATGGAGGATGATGTCTGTCTATCATGTGATCTTATTTGACCATTGGAATTCATTTGTTTCTGCAACTATTTTGGTATGAGTTCATCCACCCTTAATTGCAAATCACGATCGCTCCTCCCTATGTACGTGTTTCCGTACATACATGTAAATTGATAGACATAATAGGATGTGACACAATCGCTTTAGGTGCTGTTTAGGCTTTTGGTGAAACATGGACCTTGTCTTTTCGATAATGACAAGTATATGTGTGATCAGATTGTTCGAAATGTATTGCGTAAGTATATCATATAATAGTCTAATGACAATAATTAATAAAATTTATACAATTTTTAAAGTAATATTCATTGGACTGAAACAAATAGGCAATCCATTTAAATAAATGACTTTAATTTGTTTTAAATGTATATTAAATGTGTTATACGGTGAAAATATGAAGTGAATAAATTAATTAGGATCTCACGTAAAGCTTTTCTCGATTTAAAGGTTGTGTTTACCTTTGATTAAGTGAAACAAACTAAAGAACCTTTAATAAGTATTTTACATGAATCTGAATCTCTATAATAATGTCAACGTTGTTTTTTTTACAAATGGTCAAACATTTAGGCGTTATCATAAACATGCATTGTTTTTCGTCTACATTCTACAGTTTTAATATGTTCACCATATAGCATAACCATTATCCTATATCACAGATGTATAGCTGCCCCAATTCTTACTGGATTTAATTCATAGAGAAAAGTTTCACAGGAGAACTTTAGGTAAACGATTCATAGCAAATTACAGATATTCAAAATTATATATATATATATATATATATATATATATATATATATATAAAGTAAATTGAAATGGAAGTATAATAAACTGTAACTGACCAATGCCCAATACAGTATAAGGACTACTCTCACAAATATCGTAATAACGGTTCTTAGTTCTATAGGCTAAATAAGTGATCAATAGACAAACGAATCTCATGCCAAACGAATGATTTTATTCAATATAAATTTTATCATGAGTTAAATAAACAACTTTAGTTTGGAATTCACTTATTAAAACAAAATGTGTACATCAAAGTATTGGAAAAATTGATTTATGATAGTTTAAAATACTCAGTAAGGATAATACGTTTTTATGCTAAAATGTCTTACAGTTTTACAAGGTATTTTCCACACTACAGATAATTTACCTTTAAATATTTTGCGGACATTGTTAAGTTGTGTAACTGTTCATTGGAACATTGTGTGCTACTTTATTTGTCAGCTCATACTGATGGCATACTTTTTAAAACCATACGAGTTAAAAGTGAATTTCAAATATGCAGAATTCAAAGTGTTAAATCGTCTAGCCATGGACGATCTCACATTAACGCTTTCATCTTTGTATCACTGGTGCACAAGTTGATATGATACAGCACAAATTTCTGGAATATGTTTCCTTGCTCATCTTAGTTCAGAGAAATATTAATGGTATATGTAAACCGGATCAATCTGTGTTCTATATTTTCTTCGGACACATAGATAGGGTTTGTGTGTAAAGAGATAGTAGAAAATTCTATACGTAATATTTCACGATTATTCAAATTAATTAAAAAACCGGGCTGAAGTTAACAAATCAATGTTTCACTTTAAAAGAAGAGATAGTTGTATCTTTGTAGATATTTCAAGGTTCAATCCATAATGCCGAGAAGATCAAGCAATAAATATATACTAAGTACATTGTGTACGCTTTGTAAATAGCAATGAATTTGAAACAGATAGTATGAATGCCATAAAAATGGTTCATACAAAAATTATGTCAAGCAAATAATGCATTTAGGGGTAGTTGACAGGAAATGCTGATCTTAAATTTTGCTCTACTCGATTGAGGAAATTAATGTCCTACGGTGAATTCAACCTCGTGTCACCAAGATTCTAATTCAGAAAAGTTACCACTAAGTTATTCAGGCAGTGGGTGACTTTCCGTAAGAAAGAAACATATTTCTAACTAACTGATCACTGATTAGTGACCAAGATCATGTTTTTCTAGTCTTTTTTTACTGCTGATCGACTGCTATTGATGAAGCTGGATTGATAGTGTTCAGTCAGCACTAAGAAAGACTTGACATATATGATAGATTACTTAGAAAACAATATATTTCATTGGAAACCTTCAAATCAATCTCTACAAATAGTAATTTTAAGAAAAATAAAATCACATTAGAATTTTAGCTGTACAAAACATTATAAAGTGGGCTCAGATTATTACTATTAGTATTCAACCTAGTAACTAGGATACCTAAAAGTGAACAAGAACAGTATACTATTTCCAGTTTTCCTGTTTTTGAGCATATTACTTGAGCTGAAATTGACAAACAAAATTGTGACATAGATAATATTTCCTCTAACTTTTAAATATTTGTAGTTATCATCAATGAATTGGTGAATCTTTTAACTATAAACTTAACAATTCACATAATTTACACATACAAACAACAGTAATATAATTTAGTCCCTAAATGAAAATTTCATTCAATTCACTTAATATTATTCTTTTTTCTGAGAAACATCATGATAAACATACTACTTAAAACACTTTTTCCTACTTGGAATTATTCTTATAACATCATAACATTTTACTGAATATTTTTATAAAAATCGATATTTTACGATAAATCACTATTCATTAATCAATAATTCAAACATTTTTAATAAATCAATAATTTTTCAAAAAAAATCAATCAATTAAAAGTACAACGAAAAAAACCCCCCAAAATAATGTTCATCAAAACGTATTTCATTATCAATGATTGATACATTTTAAATAAACAAAAAAATAAATTATATTTATTATAATACTAATTTATTTTCTATATGCTCATATGGTTATTTTATTCTCAAATTTAATACATAAATATTTTATTATCAATACTGGTGTGTTACACTTTTCTTTTCTTTTTCTTTTTCTTATCGTTTAATAACATTACCTACCATTTAAGAAATAAATAAAAAAACATTTTGATAAAATATTCAATTTAAATAGAACTTTTTATGTTTGTTGTCAAGCCTCCATTCAAATATTGTTCAATATTCAAGTGTATATAGATATATAACTATATTTTGATAAAATTAGCAATATTTATCACTAAAGCAAATGAATAATATTTAATAAATTAATTCTATATCATTTAATTCAGTCAATGATTTTCTTTTATCTTCTATTGTTGTATATAAAAAGGAATGTGAAAAATAGTATATATAGTTTGTTTTTTTTCTTACAATTTCATTATTCAGTTTGTTTGATTATTATCGTTAGAATAATGTAATTCATAAGAAAAATGAAACAAAATCGCATTTCTTTCTTCTTCTTTTCTTTTCTTTTTTGACAAAAAAAAAACATTTATATTGCCCATTTTGATACAATATACATTTCTATAAAGTTGATTCAATTCATTTCCTAGATAAAAATAAAGGAATGTTAATTGAATTTGAATAAATTCAAAATATGTTTATATGTATGGATAACCACTTTTTACAATGAGAATGATTGACAGTTAAATTGTGATGATAATGTTATAATAAGTTGTTTTTTTTTAAAAAAAATTGGCTCAACATTTAATCACAAAAAAAACCCTGTCAAGATAACATTTTGTCATAATGTTTTAATTGTATAATGTTCCGGTGAATAATTCACATATTGATCAATAAACGGTATAGGATCTGTACTATAATTTAAACTGTTCGAATTTAAATAAAAATCTTCAACACAAATTAATTTATTTGAATAAAGTGACATTGTCTCTTGATCAGTAAATGGAATATTGATTTCTTGTTCTGAATGATGTAAATATTGTTGTTCACATTTATCATTAATATGATTATCTTGATGATGTTTCTTATTTGAATGATCATTACGTAAAAATATTCTACATTTAAATATATCCATTAATGTACGCCGAAATGTTGGCATAAATGCTAAATATAAGAAAAAATCAAAAGCATGATTAAATGAATCAACTGAACTAAATAATTTTGAATATTGTACAATTTGTTTAGTATATTCTGGATATAATATATCATATTTGTAAAAATATACTTGTTGTCTTAAAATAATAATTACCACTAATGGTATAGATAAACTTGTGAATAGAATACTAATAGCTAAATGTGCTATTACTTTACCCCTTTCATTATTTGATTCATCATCTTTAGTACCAATTAATTTTGATCGATAAACTGTTGTACTCAATTTATATAATATTAAAATATTTGTAATAAAAATGAATATAGCTGGAAGTATAGCTACACCAATAATATATAAATAAAGAACATATTTTACACCACCAGCAACAGGATTAATATATTGACATTCATGTGAATTATTTATTGGATGAATTTTTAAATCAGCAAATATTAAATGTGGTATATTTAATATTAAACAAATAATTATAACAAAACCAATAATAATATGCGCTAATTTAACATGAGAACTTTGTTCAAAATGTTTTGGATTATAAATTGAACAAACACGATCAACACTAAATAACATTAATATAAATGCAGCAATTAATGCTGAAGCATCAGTTAAATAAGTAAATGTTTTACATAGAAATGATGATTCTATATCAACTTGTATTGAATATTTACATTGTGTTGCATATTTTAATCCACGACCTAAAAAATCATCAATTAATGTATTAACAATTAATTGTATATTATGAGCAATAGACATCCATATTGCATATAAATTAAAACGACAAGTTTTTTGATATTCAATTATAATAAATACAAGTATCACCAAAAGATTTGATGGAATACCAATAATAACTAATATTGGTGATACATAAGCACGAAATGTATATACCATAATTTCTTCTTTTGTAAGATGATTTAAACATCCTTTTGAACTGAACATGATTTTTTTTAATCTTTATTTTAATTCATTAAAATTTTTTTCTTTTTGTTTTTTGTTGCTTAATTTTATTTTTTAAATGTTGCTATGACAACCAAAAAAAGTTTTTTGTATTAATTTTGTATAGTCGAATATTTTAATTTAAGTAATTATTAATAAAGAATTAAATATTATATAATTAAATTCTTAAAAATGATTCGACCAGATTAATATTATTATCATTTGCATTCTGATTGGTTATAATAGACTTAATTATATAGATATATACATATAAAGTTGATTTACAAATATGTCTAGTATTTAAAGTTGAATTATGACTATTTTATTGTTGTCCTCTAGTAATCAAGTGGTTGTAAATAAATATTGATGTTATATAATGAGTAGTTTAGAATTTATGATTTTTTTTCCAATCATGATATACGTATATTTTATCATAGATATTAACTAATCAATTTATTACCAATGTATTTGGGTTTATGCTAACTCAATAGTCATTTTAAAAATAACTAATTATTATAATTCATATCAGAAGAGGTTTTGTGGAGATTATGGTAATTTCAGTAGTTAAGATCATGAGTTAATTGAAGCTAGACTACCATGGGAAACCTAGAAGCACTGAACGGCCGTCTTGTCTTATTGTGGAACTCCTCAGCAGTGCGCATCCACGATCCCGCTCCGTGGAATCCGAACCCAGGACCTATCAGTATCGCGCGTGAGCGATTAACCACTAAACCAATGAGCCGGCTAGCATCCAACGGTGTTAATGTTTCACTTCAACTAATTCACGAAATTGAGTGACACCTTCATCATTGTCATCAGTGAGTTACTATTTCACAACAGACCAGTTTGAACTCCACTGGTCACTGCTTCTCACTAGAACTCCAGGATATACGTCTTGATGCCAGTCACTAGTGAGCATTTGTTAATTAGTATTGGAAGGGCTTTTGTGGAGGTTGTAGTAATTCCAGTGGTTGATATTATGAGGCAATTAAAACTAGATGACCGTAGAAAACTTGGGAGCATATTATATTTGAAGACCTTCATTTAATCCTTCTGTTTATATACAATAACCATGACATTTTTTAAAAACGGCTTATGATCACTGTATTGTAACGTTGTGAATGTAGAACATGATCATGATATTAATGTTCATTCTTGTAACACTTTAATTTTATGGTTCTCATCAGCTAATTCACGCGTTAGATAGTTAGAAACAATTGGAAAAAACTCTGAACGTAGTCAAGGAGTATCTACAATTTTCAAAGAACTAATGTATTTAATGAGGTTTAGAGTGTAGTCATACAATGCTAGTCAGGAACGTTTCAACTATGCTATTCAATTCACCACTGAATAAGATTCTTGGTTGATAAGAACAAACACGCATATTGTATTTGATGTTAGGTTTAATGAAGCGCATTGTAATTGTGAAATTCCATTAGAACTAAAGATCAAATAAGCATAAATTGGTTACTGCCGTAACAACCAGAGTTTATTCTTGTTTCTTTTAGTTTTTTGACCAAGTTTTATGTTTGAAAGCAGTTTAGGTTCATTACCTAAACTACTTTTATACCTGTTTTTCTCTGTCATGTTTATGCGGCATGATTTTAATAATATTGCCTAACAATGAATAAGAACTCACCACTTATGAGACTGCAATAAGGAAGTATGGTCAGTAAATTATTAACCCGGATGATATGCAAACCAGCTCAGAGAACGTTTAAACATGAACATCATAATCGAAGCACCGACGGTGATACTTAGTAAGAAAGAATAATTATCTTTTATTCATTAAACTGCTCCTACGGAACAAGTTGATTTAGCCTATTTGTGAGAGAATTATATTTTCATGTTCATGAATGCCTTCGAGAATAGCTAAGCAAAGATGCAGTTAGGACTCTAAGCACGTCATTTCTACTCAATTTATTTCGAATCAGCCACATAGCTTCTACAAAGTAGTCATTTTCAATAGTCTGTCGAGTTAGTCATTATTTACTGAAATCTGTCAGACTCAGAGCCCTTCAAACAGGAGAAACAATAGCCAAAATAGTCAATATTTAGATATTTGAGACTGAGTAGTATTTTATCCAATTCTTTCCATTTCACTTGATTTATCACATGTCTGAAAGGTCAATATTCATTTGAATTCTAAGATAACCTAATGCATTACACGTAGCCTTCTTTCTTCAGTTCCACAGTTTAAATTTTTCTTAACCAAGTGCTATAGTTATTATCATCATTTACATGTCTTCGTATTATCTATAAGCTTGATAATATGAATAAATTAAAGATCATGTTATTCAAGATATTTTAACTCGTATAATTTTATGCATGTCGAAATCGTTAACTAAACATTCGATCTGATCGTTTATTGTATAATAATTTCTCTCTTCGTATGTTATCTTCATTTCTTTTAAGCGTCAATGACACAATTTTATTTGACATTTAAACTGATTCTAGATAAACACTGCAAATAAACCATTCTGACAACAACAACAACAACAGCAACAACTTGATTTTAAAAACAATCTTTACTTTTTATTTTATAATATTTAAAAAGATGCATTTATCTTAAATTTGTCTATTGTTCAAAAATCATCTATTTGGATATATAACTGCGGAACCTGAACTAGATTTATTGCAAAAAGCACTGTTTATTCGTACACTTGCCTTGTTTATCATTGCACTTGAAGAAATTATATTTCTTTGTGTTACGTATACGCTTTTATACGCTATTGTAATGTATGATGCTAGCTAGTAACAAAGTTAATCAAAACAGGATCAGTAAAAGTTAGACCAAATCATCATATCAGTCTATAAATGTTTAGTGCAACCATACAAGGAACTGTAAACTTCAAATTAAAGTTTATATTTTTATGGTTCTGGTTGGTTGGGGATCTTAAGTGACATGAAGAGAAATCATAGTGGTTAAACAATATTTGTTTTTTTATCCTGAAAGTGTTGAGATATTTTCGTCATTACGCTTTCTATTTGTTCATTTCCAAGCTTTTTTATGCTTATGGTTTGATTGTCATTGAGATTATTAAGATATACTACTTTACTTTTCATCTTGTTACTCATTCTGTTGGTGTGACGACGTAGACAGATATACTTTCCAGTATGGGATTGTGGAAATTATTACGTTTTTGATTGACATCGTGAATCGATTGATGTTAAATCACCATTGAAAACCTAGAAGCACTAGACGGCCGTTTCATCCTATTATGGGACTCCTCAACAGTGCAGAACCACGATCCCGCTAGCGGTATTCGAATCCAAAACCCTCGGTCTTGGACGCGTACGCCTAACCTCTAGACATATTTTTGTTGAAGATTCTATGTTTTTTATGACTAACAAATTTTCTTAGACAGTAACCATCTAACAGAAAATTTATTTTGGAAACCAACACTGTTAGTCAGTGACCAATGAAATCTGGTTTGTCTTTAGAACTATTGAAGTGATTCTTGGATCAGTTTAAAAGAACCATTCACAGTAGATAAGAATTTAAAAATTATTTTGGTTTGTTGTAGCTTTTATAATCTACAAGTAGACATAATATATGTCTATTTACTAAACTGTTTAAAATATTACACTTGTCAAATATGATTATCTTTAACCTTTACTGTTTTTTTCTTATACATGTTTGACTTCATCATCCAAACTAGAGTTCCGCTTATTGTTTTTATAGAATAAGTATACATGTGTCTAGAATTGAAATACAAAATACACATTCCATCCTACTTGAGACGGGCCAATTAGCAATTTTCCTAATAATAACACAAATATTAAATCTGTTGCTTACGCAAGATTCCTCCTGGACTCAGTAGCACAGTAAGCATTTAAAATAATATGTAATAGATTAGAGTCTTAGTTTGAGAATCATCAATAGAATGGATGTATCTCCAGATGACGAGTTTCAAGTAGGACATAACGAGCATCCTGGATTCCAATTTAAGCTACAAATCTGTCTATTCTATGGAAACATGCGGTAAAATGTAGAAACACGAATCAAAAATCAGTCACGGTTAACAATAACAATTAACGTATTTTAAAATTCATACACTTGTTCAATCAAACAATTAACACCTTTCTGTTATTCCTATCATTTCATTTATTCAATAATGCGAAGTTTACTTCACACAGAAGAACTTTGATCTAGTTACTATATATAAGCTGAAATTTATGTAAATTCTGGTTCATGGCTACTTTAGTAAAACTAATATCACGAACTAGCTAAACATCTGTATAAACAATTTCGTTTCCTTTTTCCCACTAATTCGAAAATATGAATTTCTAACAATAACTAATAACCAATTATCAGAGAGGGGTCCTTTTGAGATTTTAGTAATTTTAAAGTTGAATTCATGAGTCAGTCGAAGCTAGACCACCATAGAAAACCTAGAACCAGTGGGTGGGCGTTTCGTTCTGGTATACAGCTTCTCAGCAGTATGCATCCGCGAGATTCGAACCCAGGACTTATCAGTCTCCCGCAATGGCTCAATTTCATGGATTGGTTGAAGTTCGACATTGACACCGTTAGCTGCCCACTCCGTGGTTTAGAGGTTAAGCGTGCGCTTGGGAGACTAGTAGGTCCTGGGTTTGAATCTCGCGGGGCGAGATCGTGGATGCGCACCGCTGAGGAGGCCCATACTGGGACGAAACGGCCGTTCAGTGCTTTCAGGTTCTTCATGATGGTCTAACTTCACTTGACTCATGAGTTTCTGAAAAGTGTACAACCTTTCGTTGTCAAAGTTACAAAAAAGTCAATAAGAACCAATGTGGTTGCTGGCAATATACAGCGAAAGGAATACACATTATTCAGATGTTCATTTACTGAACTGCTAACATCTAACTGGCGGTCACTCAATATTTATCGCCAGGACCAACCAAGAAGAAAGAAACGGAAACTTGTTGAAATACTTTACGCTGAGAATTCTATATTGTACCAAAAATGTAATATTGAATAAAGCTGATGATAATAATAATAATAATAATTCAACAACAAAATTAATAATCAATTATTTATTCCCTCACTTACTAATTTCCTCTAATTC